CTTCTTTTTTCCAAATTATTTTTTTAGTAAATATATATACATATATTTTTTCACTCAGTTGTAAAAGCCTTTCTGCTTAGGTGCTTCAAACTGAGTCAGGGTGCAGGAAGAGGTCAAACTTAAACTATCCCAAACATCCAACAAGGAAGAAATACAACCACAGCCATCTGTGACCTCACACATTTCCATTCATTTCTCCCTGCTCCTCCCACCGCAACACAAAAACCATGGGGAGGAAAAAGATCCTGATTCAAAGGATTACAGATGAACGCAATAGACAGGTACGTGCTGAATAAATGGGTCAAATATTTGAACATGAAACAACTTTTAATTGAAGACACTTTAACAGGTGCAGCAGAAAATGTTAAGCTGTTAACGCCAGGTTCACGATAATGAATAATTGTGCCGATTTTTGTCCCAATTTTGCCCTTCCAAAACCCCTTTTCCACAGCGCCACTTAGTGTAGTGTCGGTACGGTCAGTGTCGGAACAGGTCAGTTCAGGTGCTTTTCCATTGACGTTCCAGTCTGGTTCCTGTGGGTGTGTTTTGGGTGGTTGGTGGAGGTGGTTTTGGGTTTTTCCAAAAAGAGTTAATGTGCAAAATGAGAGATGGAAACACATTTGCTAAATAAGTTCTGAAATTAAAAAAATTCGCAAACAATTCGGATTAAAGTTGGATGGAAACACGACAAACTGCTACAATTCAAAAACTGGCGCCTGGAGTTGTAAAGGCAGCTCAGATGCAACCAGTGACTCCAGCCCCTAGCCAACCAGTGACGAACAGTGTTGTGATGTTGCATTTTGGTGTCGACTGGGACCACTTGGAACCCCAACGAAGTAGATACTAAACAACAGGGCTGGTTCCAAGAATCTGGCCTAATGGAAATGGCTTGGAACCGTACTGAACCATACCGACACTAAGTGGCACTAGTGGAAAAGGGGCACAACAATCTTAAGGATGCTCCGATTATCGTAATGGCTCTAAAGATAATCTTTTGAGATATTCCTACCATGTGTGGTGACTTAAGAGTGATTTAGGCGGATCAGAAGGACGTTGGAACCGCTCTGCACACAAATCGGGGATATTTAACACGTTGGATTGTCTTGTCCTGATATCTTAGTGTGTGGCGTTCCCTCGATGACAAACAAGCTTGTGGCCTATGAATGTGACTTGTAGCCAATCAGAAAGAGAGGTAACAGAAACACGGAGGGGAATAAAAATACAGAAGCCAAAACAACTGCCATGGTGTACTGTTTGATGGACATTAGAGACATCTTTTTGTTTTGTTTTTAGTCCACAAACCAACGCCATCGCTTCTGCCTCGTCAGCCATGTTTATTTACTCTGAACTCACGTTTGATCTCGAGAGGTCTTGCGAGATTTCCCGTTTGACATCTGAATGTTTCTGAGTGAAATGTTTGTGTGTGGTGTGTCGTCTTTGCCATGTGGCTGTACACCACACACTGTATCACCAAACTTGTCATATCCAGGATTTTTTTATCGTCATGTGGGGTCTCTCAGTCTTTGAAAATCATCAAACAATTTTAATATCTTACCGTGTGAACCAGGCATAAGAAAAAAATATAAAGTTAGGTTGCAATATGCCAGCAGAGCGTAGCACTATGGATGCAGCTTTGATGGTGGAGTCAGTTGCTGGTAATTGTACGATTTGCAATTTATTTTTCTGTCCCATTCTTCTTTTGTCTGTGCACTGAAGCGTCCTTTGTGGAAATTGTTAAGCCCAAATTGCTTCTTTTGAGTGTGTGTGCATTGGAAAGGTCCTAGCTGCTTAAGAGAAATGCTTCTGCTGAAACACTCTACATAAGACATATCGTAAGTGGTAGCTTTATAATTCTAGCACTACAGATTGCAGGCAGTATGTGTTCCTTTAAAGAATTTTAGGTCTTTAAATTTTAATTACATAATTTTGTCCAAGAGTTGAGTTTGCTGCTGTTGACTGACATTCATAAAAAAAGGTTTTGCTTTCTTGTTGCACAGCTGAAGTTATTGTCCTCGCAAGTCACTTTTGAGAAAGTTTTAAATGAATCCCATAATGTGGTGGGATTAATTTTTCTCGTGTTGCCCCTGCAGAGCGAGTTTTGCACCTTGCACAACACGAAGAGAGGGAAAAATGAGGGTTAAATCGGTGTCGTTACTGTCAGTTCCACTCAAAGCAACCCTCACACTGTAGCACATCTGTGTTGATCTGCACGAGTTGACCTGTAACTGGAACTGCTTGGTTTGCAGATTGATCGACTGCGACTGGACGCTGGCAGATCACTTTCATGTGTATCATATTTAGATCAAATCACATTCCCACAAATGAACCACAGCTCCTGAGACCCGTGTGTCAAAGTCACTTGTGCCTTCTTTGCAGTGAAACAACAGAACACTATGATGACACTGTGTTGCAGGAAGTATAAAATATGCATACAAATATAAAATTGACCTTCTTTAAAACAAAAAAACATAAAAAAATATATAAAATTTCCACAGTCCCTCAGGTTGCATCATTGGCATAGTCAGACAGGATGAAAGGGGAAATGATCCATCTAAAATGAGTCAACTGGTAAATGGGCTTCACTCCATTGAACAGATTGAGTAATGGATGCGACATGCCCACCTTTCAAACCAGAGAGAGAGATTGAAGAAAAACAGACAGAGAGAGGCAGAGAGACGGAGCGTCTGGCAAATTAAGACTTGGGGATGAGGTCATCTTCTGTTCATTCCTCATCAACTTTAGCAGGTTGTAAATCAATAATAAAGAATGTGGTTTGCAGGGGGTCAGTGCTGTATGATCACTTGCTATTCATCAATTCATCCATTTTCTGTACCTGCTTTGTCCTGTTCAGGATCGCAGGGGGTTGAGGCCCAGCAGTCGGCAAGTGAGAGGCGAGGTACTCGCTAGACAGGTTGCCTGTTCGTCTCAGGGCCAAAACACAGACACACAAAAGACAGGCGGTCCTTCACACACACACACACACACACACACATTCTCTCTGGAAGAAGCTGGAGTACCTGAAAACGATCCATAACTGCACAACTGCATGTTAAGATTTGAACAAGAGACCTTTTTGTTGTAAAAAGAACCACCTTAAAGGGAACATATGCTAAATGTAATTATTTTTTACCTGTTAAATGCATTTTGTTGTAAATTTGGAGTCTAGGAATGCAGAAAAGTTGAATGTATTCATTCTCCTTTGACTCTGGGTCAGACATGTAAGGCTGGATTGACAAGTTGTTGACTTCTTTTGTTTAAAAATCTGCTGCTATATAGTCATAAACCCCTTTATGAAACTAGACTGAAGCGCTCTGGAAGCTGGTGAAGGGGCGAAGTGCCTTGTTTGGATTTAAAGAAACAGCATCAAAATGAGTTGATCTGAGACACAGCTCAAACAAACGTGAAAAATGGGGCTTGTGGAGTTACAATAAGGAGGAATTCAGGCCAAAGCATTGCAGTTCCATTTATATAAACCCCAACTGAGTGACTTAAATGTGAAAAATGATTTGAAAGCTTTTCACAACTAGATCTAAAGTAGAAAGAGAAAATAAAATGTAGCTTTTATAAGTTGGAGCAAGTTCTAGTTAATAAAGTTTATATTTGTGTCAGTTGTGAAAGCGTTTGTCAGTACAGCAGTGCTCTCTGTGGTACTACATGTTCATGGTATTAAAATCCAAGATGACTCATTTGCTGTAATCAAGTGGTTAAAAAGCAAAGAATGCTTGTTGGCAAACCAGTTTGCATGATGACATTTTGGTGCTTGCGTTGAGCCAAAACTGAAATCAGGACTTACATTTGTCTTCTTTTTTTTTCCTTTTCTGTTTATTTGATGCAGCGTCCCAGATAGTAAACAGAACTCAGTTGTTCTATGAGCAGCATTTACCGTGTCTGAAGTAAAACAAGTGTATAAAACTGCTTTTTAAAAAGTATTTTTATTTATTTATTTTATTTTGCAGACAGTCTTTGTGCTTCTTCGTCTAATGAACAGTGCACCCTTTTGTAAGGAAATCAAATAAATTTTGGAGAACATGCAGCTTGTCACCCTCCTACATGTTGATTTGGAGATGCTGCCATAAGCTCTGCAAAATAAACAGCATTCAGAGTGTGGGCCTCAGCTGGAAACATGACAGCATCTCAAATACCACATTTTTCATTAAGACAAAAGATGTACAAGAAAGAATAGAAAAGACAACTGGTAATGTTTAAATGCTCAGACATTTTTTTTCCTCAAGTTTGAATAGCATTTGTCACATCAAAGATAAAGCAAAAAGAGTTGACTTTTATTAAAACCGTGACCCATTTTAGCTGGAAGATCTAAGAGGAAGAAAGATTTACTCCTACGAATAAAATAATCTTGAATCAGCATTCATATTTATGCCAAGAAACAGCTGTGGAGCAGCTAAAAGATGCCAAGGTGTACATGGCGTATCTTAGGCTTTAAATAAGAATTTTTTTAATGTGCAAGTTTCAGAGTATTTGGAGTCAAGTTTACTAAGACCAGCAAATGAAGAGGAGCCTGCAATCCAACTACAATAAAATAAGTATTTCTTGAAGAAATGCATATTGCCATCTGCCTTTCATGGCAAAGTTTTGCACTATCCCATGTTGAGAAATAGAGTTTTACTGCCTTTTTTTTTGGTCATATTTTTCAATTCGTTGAGTTTTCTGAATTATTATCATCATCATCATCATCATCGTTTATTTATAAAGCACAATAAAAACCAAAGTGCTGTACAGGAGCATAAATTAAAAACAATGAACAAAGTGCAGTAATAAAATGAACAATAAAATCAAACAAAACAGCAAAGGCTGGCCTAATGATCCTGCTCTTCAGACTCAAATGCCTGTTTAAACAGATGAGTTTTTAACAGAGACTTAAACTCATTCAGAGACCCAGCAGACCTCACAGATAGTGGGAGGTTGTTCCAGAGCCAAGGTCCTGCAACTGAAAAGGCTCTGTCTCCCCTGGTCACAAGCCGAGACCTGGGAACAACTAAAAGCTTTAGATTTACAGATCTCAGGGATCTATTTGGAATGTGAGGCTGTAAAAGCTCAGTGAAATAATGAGTTGCCATTTAAAAACTAAAAACAAAATCTTAAAAACAATTCTAAAAGAAACAGGCAACCAGTGAAGAGAATACAAAATCGGAGTGATGTGTTCGCGACGACTTGTCCCTGTTAATAAACGGGCAGCTGAATTCTGAACCAGCTGTAGACGACGAACCAAAGACTGATCCATCCCGCAATAAAGAGAGTTGCAGTAGTCCAGTCTAGAAGTGAT